AAGATATTAAAGAGGACCGGACCCCGCACCGAGCCCTCGGGAATGCCACTAGTGACTGGCCTCCAACTGGACTTGACTCCATTTACCACGACTTTTTGGGCCCAGCTATCCAGCCAGTTTCTAACCCAACGAAGTGTGTGCCAGTCCAAGTCAAGAGCAGCCAGTTTCTTGAGGAGAATGCTGTGGGAGACGGTGTCAAAATGCCTTGACTGAAGTCAAGGTAGACCACATCCACAGCCTTTCCCTCATCCACCCAGTGCGTCACTTTGTCATCGAAGGAGATCAGGTTCGTCAAGCAGGATCTGCCTTTCATAAACCCATGCTGACTGGGCCTGATCGCCTGCTTGCCCTGCAAGTGCCACATGATGACTCGCAAGAGGATCTGCTCCATGAGCTCCCTGGTACTGAGGTCAAACTGACAGGCCTGTAGTTTCCTGGGTCTGCCCTCTGGCCTTTCTTGTAGATGGGGGTCACATTTGCTAGCCGCCAGTCAGCTGGGACCTCCCCCGATAGCCAGGACTGCTGATAAATGATGGATAGTGGCTTGGCCAGCTCCATCTGCCAGTTCTCTCAGTACCCTTGGGTGGATCCCATCCGGCCCCATCAATTTGTGCACATCCAAGTGCCGTAGCAGGTCACCAACCAGTTCTCGTGGATGGTGAGGGCCACATCCTTGCTCCCATCCCCTTCCAACAGCTCAGGGTACTGGATATCCAGAGAACAACCGGTATTGCCGCTAAAGACTGAGGCAAAGAAGGCATTGAGCACCTCCGCCTTTTCCTCATCTCTCATAGTGTTTCCCACCAAAGAATATCATTGTTCATACCTTCCTACACTGTATGTACCTGTCTCACGTGACTCCAAGTCTTTGTAAAAATTGTGGGTCAGGCTTTCTGTGTATTTTAATAAAAGAAAGGACCATGCATTGACTACTGCCTGATACCCTTCTTGTAGACCTGTGGTGGAGCTTCAGGGGCACGTGGCAGATTGCAGAGGTGGAGGGAAGAAGGGTCCTGCCACAGCAGCACTGCCAGGGTGCAGCATTGCCAGGCTGCACCTGTGATTGTTCCCTGTTCTTGGACAGCACCCACAGAGACAGTGAATTCACCTGCCTCTGTACACAATAGGTGAGAGGGATGATGGCAGGCAGGCTTCTTTCTGGAGGAAAGCGGGAGCTTCCTGGAGAGCCCAAGCGCTCGGCGTGACAGTGTGTGCCAGGGAAGTCAGTAGCACATGGAGCCCATAGAGCATGGGCACATCCCAGGTGGAGCCACCCTGAGGTGCTGAATCTGGGTTTGAACAGGCCAAAGGAGAGCTCTGCAACTCCAGGGACACAGCAGGCATAGGGAAAGCTCTCTGCTGAGTTATTTGTTACACCTCTGGTGAAAATTTTCATGGATTTAATACAGTGAATCACCCCAAAACATATCCTGACGTTGGAAGTGGGTCACTTGTGCATCATCTGACATGGGAAGTGGGTCACCCTTGTGGGTCCCTTCCAGCTCGGAGTATTCCATGAGTCTCTGACTCTGAAGAAGGCGCCTATCTGTGCCAGCTATCCATGGCCAAGGAACCACTTGTGTGGGAGGCAGTCAGTGCCAGTGCCCCCCACCAGCTGGCTCTGCCTCCCCAGCCTGACCAACATGGCCTGCAGAGTGCCCCCACGGCTCCACTCACCACAGCCCCCTTGCTCTACAGAGCAGCACCAGCAGCTGGGGGGCTGTGGGATAGCATGGGCAGAGGCTGCAGGAATGGCTGCCTCAGGCCATTGTCTGCAAACTTACTGAGGGTACACTCAATCCCCTCATCTAGGTCAGTAATAATGGTATTAAACAAGATAGGCCCCAGTACCAACCCCTGGGCGATGCCACTTGTAACGGACGCCAACCGGACTTAACTCCATTAACCAACAACCACTGGGCATGGCCCTCCAGCCAGTTCTTCACCCAAAGGAGGACTATACACAGCCAGGAGAGATGACCCAACGGGATTAAATAGATGCTCCAGTAGGTGTTCCAGCCCACCATCCCACTACCAAAAGCACCTCGCAGCCTGCAGCAGAGGAGCCTGCTGGGGAAGACCTGGAGGGCTGTGGGGACCCACCAACAGGAGCTGGTGCCAAGTCCTGCCCAAGGGTCCAAGACATCTCCCTGTTCAGCTCTTGCAGCTGAGGTATCTCCGTGGGTGCCCAGCAACAGAGGGTGGGCACCGCAAGGGAGTGTCTCCTGGGGCTTCCCAGAGATCCACTTGTCTGGAAACTGCCTGTGCCTGGCAGGATGGAAATGTCTCTGTCAGTAGGAATAGTGTCCAGGGACCAGGGGCTCTGTCAGCCCCAAAGCCAGACCCCAATCCTGCTGGCTCTAAGATGAGCTCCTTCCAAACTGCTGAATATTTGAGCTCTTCTCCCCTCCATCCACCTCAGGGAGACACCCTGATACCTGGGCAGGGAAGCACTGGATCTGGGGCAAAGCCCCCAGAGGGTTTTAATATGAGGAAATACAAACACACAGCATAAAAATAGGGGAATACCAAGAGGGAAATACCCATGTGTGTCTGCTGACTGCTGGAAAAGGGAGACCATTCCCTGGCACTCACGGCTCTCCCAGGGGCACTGAGCTCTCCTTCCTCCCGGCTGCACCCAGCTGCTCAGCAGGGCTGGGCTCTGCTGGCCTGGGGCTCTGGAACTCTTGTGCATGGGGCTCTGGTGTCACATCCTGGGTGTCCTCATGGGGATATGCCAGAGACACTCTTCAACATCGTCATAGCCCGTGCTCCCCAGGAAAGGTGACGAGGTGTCTCCATCAGCTCCAGGGACCCCAGCACTTCTCCAGGAGTGCAGGCTTCCCCCTGTAAGCATCAAGGCAGGCTGCTGTGGTTGGGCCTGTGGGGTGCCCCTCGGGCTGTATATCACCTTCCTCATTCTCACCAGCCTGAGACACTCGGCCCATTCTCCCAGCCCCCACAAAATACCCCAGGACAGGTACTCCATGTGGAGCTGGTCAGGCTTTCAATATGGCATGGATTCTCCTAGGCCTGGGGTTGGCATCTAGGAAGTGGCAGTGTTGCATTGTCCTCTCACCTGTGGCTGCATGCCTCAGCCCATCCTTCCTCCTCTGGTGTCCTGGGCACTTCCCAGTCCCCTGCCCAGGGACAGGATCCTCCCCAGGGTCAGAAACCTCCCCAGCATCATCATAGCCATCTGCTGGGTAACCTCCGGGCAGGACAGGGACATCTGAAAGGAGAGGGAAGGTGGTGGCAATGAGAAGAGATGTCCTGCAGAGCAGAGGATGGGAGGGTGTGTGGGGACACAGGGCTGACATGCTGCTGGTGTCAGGGTCACAGCAGAGCCTTCATGCTTCCAGCTCTGATGATAACACTCGGTGGCACTGCTGTCAGTCTGGTCTGTCTGCAGGGAGGAGAAATGGAGACATTTCTTCCCCCCCCACCTCTGATCCTTGGGTCTGGCCCCAGACCATCCTCCTCTCTGTGCCTGGGGTAGGGCTGCAGCTGGGTCAGGGACCCCTCTGAAAAGGAGGCTGCAGAGAGCTGCAGTGGGTGCTGTGGGATGAGCCCTGCTGCCTGACTGGTGGTCAGCACTGCTGGGGATGGGCACCCACAGAGCTGGGGGTGCATGGGGAGGAGACCAGTTCCTTGGAAAGAGACAATTCTCAGAGGAACTCCAACAGCTGCCCTGGGAAAGCCCTTCACTTAGTCCTTGGTTCAGGGAGAAGCAGAGAGGGGCTGTCCCCTCTGGGATGGGCAGAGCTGGTGTGGAGGAAGCTCCTCGTGGGGGCCAACACCTGGATGCTCTCCCACAGACCCATGGTCCAACCATTTCAGGGACCATGGGCAGGAGCTGCAGGGCACAGCCCTGGTCTGAGACAGGGAGAATGGACACAGCAGATGTGCCCCCGCAGGTTACCTGCACCCACCTGAGAGACTGAACCTCGGCCGCTTCTCCCACGCCAGGCTGTAAGTGATCTCCTCGTACACGGCCTCAGGGAAGGGCTCCCCAGCTCTCCCAGAGCCTGGGGACAGAGGCAGGGCTGGTCTGGGTTGGCAGAGAGGGACAGGACCCCACTGGGCTCCCTCACCCCATTCCCTAGGCCAGCACAGGGCTGTCCCCACAGCACAGCCCCACTGTGTTGTGTTGGCACTGAGGCCACATCCCCAGGGAGGGCAGCATCCCCATGGAGATGGTCTGGGACAGAGTCAGCCTCACACCATCCCTTTGGAGACAGCCCTTGTGCCCCTTTGGTCCCTGGTCACGTCCCATTGCAGACCCTGCACCAGTTCCCTCATTTCCCTTCCCCATGGAGCTGCTCCATCTCTTCCCCACACATCAATAGCACAGCCCGTGCCCTGTTGGGGGGTGGCTGACACAAAGGTGATGGACTCTGCTGCCCCATGCTCCTCCTGCCAGTGCTGCCCAGAGCACTGCCAGCAGTGCATCCTCCCTGACTCACCCAGCCCAGATCTCACATTTCTCTCTCACCCCAGAACTGATGCCTCAGGCTCTGGGCTCTCTCCACCCCTTGATGTTGGTGCCCCATGGTCTGTCAGTCAGTGGGGCAGCACATGGGGCGGAGGCAGCACACGGCTCTGTTTCTGTGCCCCAGACACCAAAACCCCCAGCCTGCCTGGAGGCATCTCCCCCCCAGGACCACTGGGGAAGGGCCCACCTCTGCGCTGAGCCCTGGCGTTTCGCACCTGCCCAGCCAGGAGGGCCAGGAGCAGGCAGAGGAGGGCCCCCAGGATGATGCAGATGACGACAGGCACCGAGAGTCTCTCACCGCTGGTGGTCAGACGGCCCCGTGGGGGATCTGCATGGGCAGGAACATGGCAGGGGCAGCATCAGACAGAATTCGGGGGCAGGACATGCCACTCCCGACCACACAAGGCAGTGGAGGCTGGGGACGTCAGGGCTGGGTGATGGGGCGGATTCCACCCTGATGGGTACATCACAGACTTCCCCCAGCTTCCACATATTCCTGGGACTCTCACAGCCCAGCATGTAGCCCCCTCCTCCTGACTGGTCTTCTCTGAGACCCGCCTGGAGATGCCTCTGCCTCCCCCAGTGACTGATGGCAGCCTGACCAGGTACTGATGTGGGCATGGGTAGTTTTAAAAGCTGAAGTCACCTTTGTTCCTCCAGCAGCTACAAGGTCTAATGCAGAAAGCCAAAGCTTCTCTGGGTTCCTTCTCTGCATTTCACCATATCCTGCGGGGAACAGGACCTGGTGCCTTGATGGCTCAGATTTACCATTGCAGGTGATGTGGGTCTCTTCTCGGAGGTCATCACAAGACTGCGGATTCCAGGGAGCAGAGGGACACTGCCAGAAAGAGCTGTTGCTCTTCCCACACTCCACGTGATCCAGCCATGCAGTACCAGACAGCTTGGCATAGTTAGAATCTGTTTCCAGTTCCCCTTCATTCCCGCAGCCCAGCTCCTTGCACACCAGTGACACCGTCTCGGTGGTCATGGAGTTGGAGCAAACGCTGCCCCACGTCCCGCTGTAGAAAACCTGCAGGCGCCCGGAGCAGCCATCACTGTTCTCCAGCCTCAGGGCCATGAACTCTGGAAGGAGGAAAGGCCCCAGACAGAACAGGCTGGTCAGGGGCTGGTGGAACAGAGGCTCCTCTGCACCCCAGGTGCTCAGGAATTCGGAGGCACAGCCAGCAAATCTCTTTTGCATCTGGGGGCAGAGAGGTCTCTGACATACTCCTTTGCCCTCCCCACACACTGTCAGGGTGGATGGGCTCCCAAGGGTCTGTGTGAGGGTTTCCCCAGGATGGGCTTGGGCAGGGGACCCAAGGCAGCCAGGGATGGCATCGGCCTTGCCCAGCTCTGCCCTCACCCTAGTCTCTGAGGCCCCAGCTCCCAGCCCCACTCCCAGCACAGACCTGAGCAGATGACTCCCGCGTCCTCCTTGTGCCCGCAGTCGTGCTGCCCCCAGGCCTCGGCAGGACAGTCCCAGAGAGCAGCTTCGGCCCCGGAGCAGCTGACGCCATCCAGCCAGATCTGCCCGGAGCCCTCCCCAAACCGAGCAGAGCCGGCTGCCTCCAGGGCCCCTCCGCAGCCCAGCTGGTGGCAAACGACGGCGGCGTCGGCCAGGTCCCAGGCGTCGTCACAGACGGTGCCCCAGCGCCCCTGGTAGTAGATCTCCACTCTCCCGGCACAGCGCCCAGCCCTGTCCACCAGCCGGACCCGCCGGCTCCCTGCAGTGGGGAGAACCCCGATGCTCAGGGGCTGGCTGCCCTCCCGGACCAGCACCTGAGGGACGTGCAGCACCACTACCCCAGCACACGACCCCCACGTCCTCCGCGATCCCTGTTGCTGGGTGGCTCTCGGGCAGGGAGGTGTTGCAGAGGCTCAGGTCAGCCTCGTGCCCTGCACACGCACCCCACGCAGCCCCACAGGTCCTCGTCCTCGCTCGGCCCTCACGGGGGTGTAGGCTGCCTCTGCCTCTCCGCACTGCAGCTGCCGGCACACCACGCTGGCCTCCTGCATGTCCCACTGCTCATCCAGGACTCTGCCCCACGTCCCGTGCTGGAAGACCTCCACGCGCCCGTCACACCGGCTCCCTCCGCCCACCAACCGCACAGACATGGCGAGCCTGCCTGGTGAGAGCAGAAATTCAGCAGGCACTGCATGGGGTCCCCAGCAGTGGGTGGCCGTGTCACAAAGAAGGGCAAATGGACTTTGCAGCACTGCCCAGCACTCACCTGAGCAAATGACAGCAGCAGCGTTCTCCTGGGAGCACGGCGAGGCCCCCAGGGCAGTCACCGGGCACTGCCCCAGGTGGGCTTCAGTCCCGTCACAGTGGAACGAGTCTCTCCAGACGGGGCCGGTTCCTCTCCCAAAATGCCCTCCTCCAGGAATGGACTCAGCAAAGCCACAGCCGAGGTGCCGACAGAGAACGTGGGCGTGAGAGGTCCCAGCGGGAGGCACAGAGGGTCCCCCACGTCCCCAGCACCGCGACCTCCACCCTGCCCTCACACGCTGTGCTGCCATTCACCAGCCTGAACCCTGTGTACTCAAGGACAAAGGAGGGTGAGAGAGGCCACATTTGTGCTCTTGTTCCCACAGGAGCTGCAGGAGAGGCCAAAGGGACAGCGTGCCTTTCTCCTCCTGCAGCACTCTAATTTTAGGGCTGCAGACCACCACCTCACCCCACCTGTCCCCCCCAGCACAGCCCAGTGCCCACCCTGCTCTCTGCTCCCACCACAGCCCCCATGGGCACCATCCCACCCCAAGTCCTTACGTGTGCAGGTGACATGAGTGCCATTGCTGTGGGTGCAGGCCTTGTCCTTGGGGCCCCGTGGGGCAGAAGGAGAGGACGGATTCATTCCCCACACACTGCAGCTCTCTGTCCCAGACAGGACCGGCCCCTTCTCCCAGCTGAGCTGCCCCATGGACAGACAGGGCTGTGCCACACTGCAGCTCCCTGCACACCACCTCGGCAGCTTTGGCACCAAAGTGGGAGTGACAGACAGCTTTCCACTGGTCCCTGTCGTAGACCTCCACACTTCCTGAGCAGGGGCTGTCCCCTCCGACCAGCCGACAAATCCTGGAGCAACCAAGGAGACCTGTGAGTTCCCAGAGCCCTCTGGCACTTCCATGCCACCTCCCACCTCAGCCCTGAGGTGGCCACATGGCCAGCCCAGCAGCTCTCAGTGGGTGCTGTGGCACAAAGATGTCAGGGCCCCCTGCTGCTCCTCAGAACCAGCCCAGCACCCATGTCCTCTTTTCCAAGCCCCCAGCTGCAGACACTGCTCAAACTGCTGCTGCCCGGAGCCCCTGGGCTGCCCGGCCCCAGACCCAGCACTGCAGCACAGCACGTGGGCCGGGGAAACAGGCCCAGGAACTGGGCTACTTCAGCCTGCTCTGCCCCACAAGGCTCAGGCCAGTTAGAAGAAATCCTTGGATCTGCCAAAAAGCCCCCCTGTTTCCAGGGAATGCTGGGGCTCTTGGGGAGCTGCTGTTACATGGGGCACATTGGGGGATCCTCCGCAAAGGGGGGTCCTCTGCTAGGGACAGTGTGGTGCTGGGCATGCACGTCCCCAGCCACCTACCATGCATGGGTCAGGAAAGCAGGCAGAGAGCAGCCCTGGTTTGACACAAGCTGGTGTGAGGGCAGGCACAGAGGAGAGCCAGGAGGTGCTGGCACAGCCCCTGGGGCACAGGGCAGGCAGGAGAGGCTGAGCAGTGGGTCAGCAGGCCTGGAGGGCCATGTCTCCGGGGCTGGCTCTCATGGGGTGACCCCGGGACAGGAACAAGGTGCCACTTGCCACCATGTTCCTCTGCCAAGCCCAGTGCTCCTGCCTCTGAGCAGCCCCTCTGCTTTGGCCAAGGTTCTCTTGGCTGCTGGGGGTACAACCCAAAAGTCCTGGGCCATTGCACGCCCTTCCCTGAGGCTGCTGGTGGCTGGGGGAGCTGCTCTAGATTCCCCTGGCATAGGGACCAGCCTGCCAGACAGGGCCTGGGTGAATGGAGGAGAAAGATGGGAACCAGGCAGCACAGTGGGAAGGGGGGGGCTTTCCTCTCCCAGCCCCAGGCACCTCCCCAGGCTTGGCTGCTCCAGCTTCAGGGCCAGGCTCAGTGTGCTCCCACTGGGCTTTCCCAGGGACAAGGGACACCAGCTCAGACCAGCTCAGAGTGCAACTTGACACACAGCCATGTTCTGGTGTCCACTTGTTGCTTCCTGAGGTCACAGCCAGGTCCTTAGAAGTGTCCTCGTCCCAGAGGTAGGGAACAAGTTCAGTCCTTACCTGAGCATGTCACTCCAGCATCCTCACTGTGATAGCAGTATGCTTGACCCCATCCGTTGTGTGTGCAGTCAGACAGGGCAGACTCCTTGCCATTACACTGAACAACATCCATCCAAATGGGCCCAGATCCTGGCCCAAAGTGTGCATTACAGGAGCTTCGAGAGAACCCCACAGCCCAGCTGCCTACAAACCACTGCAGCATCGGACTTGTCCCAGCGGTAACTGCACACGGTCCCCCACTGGCCCTGATGTTTCACCTCCACTCTCCCAGCACAGCGACTGCCGCCATCCGCCAGCCTCACCTCCGCAGCCCCTTCAAACACCAACACAGGAAGGGTCAGGAGAGTTTTGAGCCCCACATTGTGTGTCCGTGAGGACCCCCTCCCCAGGCAGACTCCCAGTTCCCAGGGTGGGATCCCTGTCCCCATAGGCAGGGGCAGTGGGGTTCCTCCTCTCCCCATGGGCTACACTGCTGGGGGTACCCAGCTCTAGCCCTCCTGGGCCATTTGCTGCCCCACAGCCCTCACCACCTCCTCCCACCCCAGCGGACCCCTGCCCCCACCCATGCCCACCCCCACACAGCCCCAGCCCTGCATGGGGCTCCCACTCCTCCCCTTCCCAGTGTCCCCCAAACAGACCCATGCCCTGAGCAGCTTCCATTGCCCATTGTCTGCCACAGGCACTCCCAAACCCACTGTCTGGGTTGACCAAAGGATACCAACAGCCCACATTCCTTCCAATCCCTGCTGTCAGACTGGCCCCTGTGCTTGACCAGGGCCCCCAAGAAGAGAACACCTCTCAGTGCAAATGCCCCTTCAGTTAATGGGACACAACCTGCCCTCCTGGAGTCCGTGTTTCCCCAGATCCCAGGGGCAGGGAACAGCACAAACCCCTCTGGGACATCCCAGACATTGGCTGTGCCCTGGAGATCACTGAGCCACCTCACTGTCTGGGACTCCTCTAGATCCAGAGGCACAGTAGTGGGGAACAAGGGGTCCCAGAAAGGTACCCAAGGACAAGGTGTCTAGAAATGAAGTCAGGCTTGGGCTGCCAAAAACATGGGAGATATGAAAATGGATTACCCCCTCCCACCCAGACAGGCACAGATTAAAGAACAGAGCTGAGAGACTGAGCACCTTCTGCCTCTCATTTCAGTGGTGCCTGAAAACAACCCCACTCCCAGAGAGATCCCAATGACCCCACTGCTGCCCACAGTCCCAAGGCTGTGGAACAGAGAAGCTGGCACTTACCTCTGCAAGGCTGCACCCAGAGGAGCAGACACAGCACCCAAGGGGACAGGAGTCCCTCTGTCCCCATCCTGAGGCTCCTGTCCTGACAGCACAGCCCTGCTGCTGGAGCTTCTGGGGTCCCAAGGGGCAATGGAGATGATGGGAGGGCAATATATCTGTGCAGATGCTGTCCCAGCTGCAGGAGGAGCCAATCGAAGCAGCAGGCACCTTTTTAGACGTTATCGGCACTTATCTCCCCTCCGACGCAGCCCAGCTCTCCAATGAACTTCTCCAGCGCTCTTCATGACCATATATGAGGGACGGCTCCGCGGGTCTCACGTCACTGCGGTGGGACATCATCGTGGGGTAGGGCTGGGTGTGGGGGCAGATGGCTCTGACACCCCTTGCAGCCTGCTGTGGGAGCACGGAGCATCTCCTGAGCTGTAGCATCCAAGAGCCCAAGGTGCGATTGTCCGGCGTCTGGCCATGGGATCCAGGGGACTGGTCCTGCAGTGGGGCTGTGTCAGGCTGGGAAGGGACCAGCCCCTGCCCCTGCTACAGCCCCTGCTGTGCTGGCAGCAGCAGCTGGGAAAGGCCCTTGGGCAGGGCCAGAGCCCCATGATGGGGGTGCTGGCTGTCCCGTCCCTCCCCAGGGAGCCTCCTGTGGGGTCCCGGCAGCAGCCAGAGCTGGTCCAGGGCCTGCCCTGGCAGCAGAGCTGCAGCCCAGAGCCTCAGGCGTCTCCCTGGCTCTCAGCGTGTCACCCAGGGGCCGTTATTCCCCGCGGCGGGTCGGGAGCTGGAGCCTGCCTGCCACTGCAGGTGCACAAACCGCAGCCCACGTGACATGGCGCCCGGGCAGGAAGACGGTGGTTTCCTCCTGGCCCCGTGCCCAGGCATGGCCCTGCGGTGCCTCCCAGCCTCCCCACAGCTCCAAGCCTGGCAGGGTCAGAAGTGTTGGGACAATGCTCTCAGATGTACAGTTTCATATATATGTATATATATATATATTATATATATAATTATATATATATATATATATATAATAAATATAAAAAAATATATTTACAAATTTATATTTTACTAATATATTATATCAATCGTATCATATCATATCATCATATCATATCATATCATATCATATTGTATTATAAGACATTATATTTATTGTTATGTTGTGCTATGTTATTATATATCATATATTATATATTATATACTATATACTATATGGTATAATTAATATTAAATATATATATTGTATAATAAAATATAAAAATATAACATAACATAAATAACATAACATAACAACATAACAACTAACAAACATAACATAATATATTATATAATATTATATATATTATATATATTATAATTTATATATTATATAATATTATATTAATTATTATAATATTACAATATTATATTATATTATATTATATTATATTTATATTATATATACATGTATTATTATATTGTATTATAATATTGTATATATAGTATTATATAGTATGATATATTATTATATAATAATAAATAAAATATTATCTTATATTTAATATAAGAGATAATAATAAAATATATAATATATAATATTGCATTTATATATATTATA